ACGGCGGTGGAAAGTGACTGAAGCCGAGATGCCAGGTCAGAACTGATAATATTGCTGATTCTTCTTTGGAAGATCTCTAGGTAAATAGCAGGGGGATCGGACCGTATGTGGCAGCAATATTCTAAGCATAGACGAATGGTAGACTTATAAATATGTATGATAGATTCTGGCGAGGAAAACTGTCTTGCACGATACAGTGAACCAAATATTTTAGCAGCTGACCTAGCAATGGTTTTAATATAGTCTTCCCACTTCAGAGAACTTTAGTCCGAGTAGTCGCAATGAGTCACTTTTCCTGAACGTTATCATCAGTCATGCTGATAGAAGCCAGAGAGGAGCCTCTCTGAAGATTAATGGAGAGAAGTTTAATTTGGGAGGCGTTAAAATTAACAAGCCATCTTTTGCCTCAGTTAACTACGGACTTGAGGTCGTATTGGACATCAGCTGCTATTTTGACCTTGTTGGCAGTCATACTACCGAGGCAGGAACAGCGTAGATACAAAGTTGATAGCTGATCTCATCGAGAAGGTCATTGATGAAAATTAAAAGCAAAGTAGGACCAACAATCGAGCCCTGGGTGACAACCGCATTAGTACGAAAGGATCTAGACGAATGGCCGTCCAGGATAACTTTCATTTCACGATTTGATAGGAAAGATTGGATTACTTCAAAAATGTGTCACTTTTCAGCTTGTGGAAAAGACCTGTAGGCCACATTTTATCAAAAGCTTTCGAGATGTCCACTACTACAGCCCGGGCTTTGCATTTTTATCTAGAACATGATAGACTCTTTTCGTAATTATCTTCAGTACATCAGCAGTTGACCTGGAGAAACGAAGGCCATATTGCTTGTCTGAAAAAAAGGTCTGCAATGAGAGATGATGAAACATTGATTAGAGCCTCTAGGAGTTTCCCAAAAGGAGTTAGAGGGCTAATAGGCCGATAGTTGGAAGGGTCGGACGTTTTTAAAAACTGGAACAACAGATGATGACTTCCAGCAGGCTGCACAGCAGGAGGCAAAGATATATTTATTATACAGTTTAGAGAGAACAGGAGCCAGTTCGGAAGCACAATTCTTAATGATTATTACAGGGATACAATCGGGTCCATATGCATTGTGGAGATGAAGAGTAGAGATGATAGTAGAAACTATAGAAGAGGTTATAAGTATATCACTCAACAGAGACTTAGATGAGCCAAGAATAGAGTTTAAGGAGAATTTACGGGAAAAGCATTCAACTTTATCAGCAGAGGGTATTAACACCTCAAATCGATTGAAGAGAGAAGAAATAGAAAACTTACACTTATTTATTTTATTTAGTCTATTACAGAGCCACCAATAATCACGAGGGACAAAGTTGTTAGAGGCTAGGCGGTGCCTCATACTCTCAGCAAACAGGGACTTAAATCCTTTGAGGACTTGCTTACATTTATTATGAGCAGCAACGAATTGGCGCCTGTTGTGACTGAAACTGCTCCAACTGAACGGCAAAAATTCCCAGTAAAAACCCGTCGAAGACGACGTATACTGCAAGTAGATAATAACTGGGAATTGTTAATTGGAACCGAGTTCCAGTTCCAGTTGCGTTCGTTATATACACTTACGCACACATATTCTTGGGAAAGGTATAAATCCACATCTTCTCCCCAGATATGGGTTAATTAGTAAGACTTGTATCACTAAACCCTTAATATATCCATAAATAAAATTAAATTAAAACTGGGACAACAGACGATGACTTCCAGCAGGCAGGAAAGCAGGAGGCAGCGTGACATTTATTAAAGAGTTTAGAGAGAACAGGAGCCAGTTCGGGAGCAAACGTCTTAATGACTATTACAGGGATACCATTGGGTTCACATTCTTTGTGGGGATCTTGCTTAGAGATGATAACAGAAAACATGGAAGAAATTATATGCATTTCACTCAACAAAGACTTCGTTCTAGGAGGGAAGTTAGGTTGGGATAACCGGATGAGTCAAGAGTAGAGTTTGAAGAGAATTTACGAGCAAAGCATTCAGCTTTATAAACATAGGACGATAACACCTCATATTGATTGTAGAAATGAGGACCTTACACTTATTAAATACCCTATTACGGAACCGACAGTAATCATGAGAGCCAAAGTTGTTATGCGGTGCCTCATTCTCTTCTCAAAGAGGGACTTAACTCCTCTGAAGACTTGCTTACATTTATTATGAGCAGCAACAAAGAGGCGTCTGTTGTGAAGGAAGGTGTTACGCTGGTATAGTGGTTCCGGTGTGCTCTAGCGGCCGAACATGATGGTGTGAACAATGGAGAAGATTTAAGTTTCACCTGGTATTTCCGAAAAGGAGTGAAAACGTCCATGTCGGCTTTGACCCAAGAAGAAATCTAAGTGGAACATTTCTCAAAGAGATTGGGCAATAGAAAAATTTAATACTGGCAACATCAGTCCCTTTAGAATGTTTAAGTCACGTGTCATAGTGCAGATTAAAGTCACCAAAAACAAAGTTATTTTAATATTTTTCTTCCGTCTATTTTTGTTTGGTTCCAACTTTTAATGTTTCGAATGACTATTACTAGATTTAGGCCACGGGATTTTATTTCGTGTTCTTGGTAATGAAGTAGTTGTAGGTAGCGTAATAAGACTTTGTTTTGTGTGTATCTTTGGAAATGAGTTCTGACCATCTAGTATCGAGTTTATCACTGTTTTTTTCTTGTCGCTGTCATTGTTGCTGTTGTAATCTGGTGCTACTTTTCGTATATTCTATGTTAGTTGTTGCATATTTTTGTTTATGCTTTTAAGTTACCACATATGTTTCGAGAGTGTTGTACTGTTTGCACCTTGTTATGTTGTTTGTTAAATAATAAATTGAGTATTTTGTTTGTTTCCAGGGACCCCTTTTTCTTCACTTTTAGGCCTTCCTGTTCTTCTCTCGTCTGTTACCCCTCTCTAGAGCTTTCATTTACCCCTCACATTCGTCCCACACTCTCATACATACACTCACTAAATTTTATTTTTTATTCCAGGAGTTATTTTTTCCGATTTCTTTTTGAATTGGTAGGTCTGATGAATTGGATCGTAATTATGATTCCAATGTAATAAATTATAACCATAGAATATTAGTGTTTAAGCCTTTTTATTATATATCCTGGACATTGAATTCTACCTGGATTCTATCCTCTTGAAAATATATATATATATATATATATATATATATGTATAAAGAAATATAGTCTTAAGGTATGCTATATTTATGGAATAAAGTGTTCAATATCAGAGATAGAGCGTGTAAATATAATATATATATATATATATATAAAAGTGAACATAGAAGTCAACACTTGGAGGCGACAGTCTGTCTCATGCTATATGCAATCGTCAGGCCACATATGCTGTTATTTTTCTCGGCTATTTATATATATACGGGTTAGTGGTGCATTGTGGGTATTGTATGTGTGGCATATGTGGCCTGACGATTGCATATAGCATGAAACAGACTGTCGCCTCTAAGTGTTGACTTCTATGTTCACTTTTATATTTATATATATATATATATATATGTATGTATATTTATATATATATATATGTGTGTGTGTATTAACCACTAATATTATCAATATCTATATATATGTGTGTGTGTCTAATTACATATATATGTGTGTGTGTGTGTGTGTGTGTGTGTGTGTGTGTGTGTGTGTGTGTGTCTGTGTGTGTGTGTGAATTTTACCGTAGCTTCATATATCGATATATAGTGTGCTAAGAGCATAGATTCCTCGGTATATATATATATATATATATATATATATATATATATATATATATATATATAAAGTGTAAACATACAAATCAGTATTGCATGGTAACTACCAATTTAAGCCATAAGTGATCATCAGACAGTTTCTAAGAAAGGAGGTTGTCATCACAGCGATTTTCCATCATTCTTAATGTTATGATAATGTTGTGATAAATATATGCGCTTACGCTCATATCAGTTTGAAACATCAGTTCTCGTGCTGACACCCAAGTTAAGCAATGTCGAGCCTGATCAGCACCTAGATGGGAGACCGCTGGAAAATACCAAATTCCGCAAGCTTGGATGTGCGGATGATGTCATGGATTACGGTTCGGAATTGGAAATCTGAGGGCCGAGTTTCAATTCCAATCGGGTTCGTTATATTCACTTCTTACGTGTAAATAACCTTGGGAAAGGTATGAATACACTTTTTTACTCCCAGCTATGAGGTAAGTTTTGAAAAGCCATAAAAACCAATGAAATCTAATATATATATATATATATATATATATATATATATATATATATATATATATATATATATATATATATATGAACACGATATCTGTATTATCTTGTGACCTATGATTATCTACAGTTCAAATAGACGGGGTATATGTCTTAGGTTAAATACCTACCCGATGTCGAATGTCGATAAAACATTTCAATATTGAACAATTTCTTACTGCTGTACTTTTTTTTATATTTAGTGCTGTTGTTTCTGGTGTCATCTCATTTGAAAACTGGAAACAGAATACACAGAAGAAAACCGGTGTTTAATTTTGAAAAATTCTGGAAACGTTTGCACACACCTAATATAAGAATTAATTTGGCACGTCGTAACTGACAAGCAATATTAAATGATTCAGTATTAGTTCGACGTATCTCCTCAGATACGAAGAGTGAAAAGAGATGACCATTGATTGAACATGGCGGAGATTTGCCATTCTCTATCGTTCCACCTTCAGCTGGGTTTCAAAAAGTCTTTTAATTTTGGTTTACGTCATTTTCTTTTCATGACTGAGAATTTGTAGACAAATAAAATGACAATAAACGAGTTTGAAACCATGCTGACTTTTCTGATTTGGATTTGGTCTTTTTGCAAGAATAGTAATAAACGAAAGTACTACTAATAAATCGACATAAGAAAAACAAAGAAAGAAAGAAAGAAAGAAAGAAAGAAAGAAAGAAAGAAAGGCAGACAGACAGACAGAAAGAAAGAAATTAGCGAAGGGAGAAAGGAAGAAAGCAAGAAACTAGCGAAGAAAGAAAAGCTAGCAAAGAAAGAAAGAAACTAGCGAAGAAAGAAAGAAAGAAAGAAAGAAAGAAAGAAAGAAAGAAATTAGCAAAGGGAGAAAGGAAGAAAAAAGAAACTAGAGATGAAAGAAAGAAAGAAACTATCAAAGAAAGAAAGAAAGCAAGACAGAAAGAAAGAAGCTAGCAAAGAGAGAGAGAGAAAGAAAGAAACTAGCAAAGAGAGAACGAAAGAAACTAGCGAATTTAGAAAGAAGACAAAAACAAGCAAAGAAAGGTAAAAAAAAGAAGCAATGAAGAGATGTGGAAAAGTAAGTGATGCTAAAATGAAAGAAAAACAAGGCGAACAAAATATTTTTATACTAAGAGATGCTAAAAAGTTCTTATCCTGAAGAACTTCTCCAAATCAGTGTTCTATTCTTTTAGGGAATTGGCATGGATCGAGATCTTTTCTATACCCACTTCTTATAAATGTACATTTCCAAATGAAAATAAAAGTTGTACATGTAATTTGTACATTTCGATAATCTTTTCATATATATATTTTTAATATCTTTATATTGATAACATTTCTGATTAATCCGGATTAATATGGTTTGCAAGAAAAGTGAGGAAGTACTGTCCTTCATCCGACAAAATTGTTGCATGGAAATGCGTTTGCGTCGTCAACATATGCTGCTATTGGTCTTCTGCCAAAGCACACAAAGGCATTGGCATACGAAGAACTATTGTTATTACAACACTAATAGATTCTCAGAGTAGGTGGCTACGAAGCCAGACATTTTTATATCAGTATTTATATACGAAATTATACGTAAATATAAAGGTTCACTCTATTGACATTTACAAAGCATTGTAAGACAAAGGGCCATTACCATATATATATATATATATATATATATATATATATATATATATATATAGGTAAAATGTATGACACAGCGCACTAAATTTAGCCTGATGAAGTCCTAAAGGGCGAAACGCATCACAAATCTTTTTACACATCGTCATATATTATCTAATGTTGTTCTTGAAATATCATAATATTATTTCATACATATATCATTATATTATTTCATACATATATATATATATATATATATATATATGTGTGTGTGTGTGTGTGTGTGTGTGTGTGTGTGTGTGTGTGTGTGTCCGTTCTGAAGGGTCATGGATGATCTTTGTTCTCCACAACTACCTGTTTCTTATTACGTTTAGAAATACATCTTTATCTACGCCCACCTTTTGCCTTCATGATACTTGTTCCACTAGATATTTGCTCAAATTTCTCAAGCAGTCCCGGTTGCATCTTTTCCCTTTCGATATGTCAGATGGGTGTTAAGTTAACCAAACCTTTCTTTCTTAGGTGGCACATAATTTTCAACTGTCTCCTTCTTATTATTAATATCAGTTTCTTGGTAGTTTCCAGTCTTCTCAAAACTTCCTCATTGCTTACATATGCTTTCCATGGAATTCTTAGCATTTATCGGCACGCAGGAAAAACGACCAGCTCTCTGTATCGCTCCAGAAATTACCCGACTCTTCCTGCCATGCGCTGTCTTTGAAAAAGCCAGATTTGAGCCAAAATGACGAATTTCAGGCACATCTGGGATCGACTTTCCCAGTATTCTCTTTTCATCGTCGATAGAGTTCAAAAGCGTCTGAGCGGTCTTGTGGGTGATGAATTGCTTTCAAATTACAACCCCACTCGCACGGACGAAATACTGCTAGCCTCTCGCTACTCTATCGTTCTTTTTATGATCGGGTGAACTATGTTCCTTGATTCCATCACTCCAGAATCTCCGACACATACACTGAGTCAACTCAGCCTCATCTCCTTCATATTCGATTAGTGATGAGGAAGTTTCATTCAAACAGCTTCTTCGCCAGAACTGTTGCGTAGAGAATGCTTCCTCGATCCCTACAATCTTAGCCTCTTCAAGTCGATGGCCAACCGTTGTCTATCCTACATATCCTTATAATATGCACCTCTTGACCTCCTCATTGTACGCCCTTGCAACATCCACTTGAGTAGCTCTTACAACAACCATGTTGGTGAAAAATAGCAAAAAAGTTAAAATAAAAAAACAAGGTTTTATTTTTTAAGGTGAAGTTTTCACTTCCACATTACAAAGTTGTTACACTTTTTTCTGCTTGAGAACAATACCGGCACTAAAAATGATGGAAGCCAATTGATATTCGATGACAGTATTTTATTATATCAATGATGTAGAGTCACAACATAAAATGGCATTTCTTGTTTAATAACATTATAATTAACCAATACAATCACTTTCACTGTAAAGCAATGTCTAACAAGCTAGCTTCATAGACCATTGCAACTGTAGTGAGTCCAATCCTGACTGAAAGCCTCACATCTAAACTATTGAGACATACTAAGCTAAGTTTAGTAAATTATCTGTCAATATATCTGAAATGAGGTATTATGTACTCTATTTACATTATACGGAATATTGTCCTCATCTTTGTCGCCATATTAATTACAACGTTTCGGCCGTTGTACGCTCCGGCCTTCTTCAGGTGGGTGGAATGTCGAACGGAAACTTTTATTTCGCTCACTGGGGTAGACTGTTCTAGTTCCACGTACCATGTTTTTAATGGATGTCAGTTTTCAGTTATCTCCTGTTAATTCCCCTCTCCAAGTTCTCCACTGTCTTAAACCGGGTATTGAACCCCTACTCTTTGGGTCCTGTCACTGGATCTAACTAACGCCTTTATCCACTGTGCCATGTGTCCTTGATATAACTGATAACTGACATCCATTAAACATGGCACGTGGGTACTAGAACAGTCTACCCCATTGAGCGAAATAAAGGGTTCAGTTCGACATTCCAACCACCTGAAGAAGGCCGGAGTGTACAACGGCCGAAACGTTGTAATAAATATGGCGACAAAGATGAGGACAATAGTCCGAATAATGTAAATAGAGTTTAGTAAATTAATCTATATTTTTTTATATTTTAGTACAAAAATTTCGATGATGAACGTTTGGTTTTTGTGAATCAGTTTTAAACTAAGAGTTGATAAGGTTTAACCATGAGAAAAATCTATTGATATACACACTTGTTCCCATCAATTAACGATATGTTTCAGACACTCTCTATCACCGCAGATACTGACATGAATTAATAATTCGTAATATCGATATACGTAATGCATTCCGACGCTGCAACGAAACACATTGATTCCCCTGAGGTTTTTATATTTCTTCTTGTAGATAATAAATATTTAATTAACAAATGAATGTGATTAATTTAGCTTATATTTCGATGTTTATTAACAACATCTTCGGAAGATTATTTCTTGAATAATAAATAGAAATGTCCTTGATATTTGACTAGGAAGAAGTTTCGTAGAAATTTACTTATTTTTCGATGTTTATCTACATCATCTTCAGAACTTTATTTGTTGAATAGTAAATAGAAATTTTCTTGATATTTGACTAGGAAGAAGTTTAGTTAAATTTTGTTTATATTTCGATATTTTTTACATCATCTTCTGAACATTATTTTCGTAGATAAATTATGAAAGAAAATTTCCTAAATAACATTTAACTGAAGAGAATGTTTGTTAAATTTTGCTTATATTTCGATGTTTATTTACATCATCTGAATATTATTTTCTTAGCAAGTCTTCTGGATGATATTTGATTACCAGTAAGTTCATTGAATAGTCGTTTATATTTTATTCTTTAAAAAGCATACATCATTTTGTGGTTGTCAATAATTATTTGCATCATCATCAGAATACTATTTTCGTCGGTAAACATTATTCTAAAACTGCTTGTATAGGTCAGTGTTTGATTGCCAAATAACCCTGTTTACATTTGAATATATTATGCTGCCTGATAACAGCTTAAATAGCATAATTTGAATAAAAAAATGATTGCAAAATAATACACATATCACTGGAGTAAAACAAAGAAAGATTGTGGGGGGAAAAACATCACAATTCGAAAATGAATCATTACCAATTGTCTAGAAATAAACAACGAAATATTTTAATAATTTCTCATCTTTTCAATTTATTGATTAAATGTTTCAAAACTCAGTTTCTTTTAGTTTTCTAACAAATATTTTACAACGTCCATTATATGACAAATATGGTGGAAGGTCATTCATTATCGTCGGTGTACAAAAAACACAGCCATCTCGTTCAGGTTTAAACATCCTGGAAGGCACGGTTTTCATTGAATCTATAGTTATTTCCTTCTGGCAAGTACTTGATCTCTATTTACGCTTTATTTTGATGACCTACAAGTCGGAATTAGTACAAATAAAGAAGAGGTGAGTTATCAACATTATTTGTTTTATAATTGCAAAAAACAAACATTCAAACAAGGATGTAGTTAGAAATCTATCATATTTCTCGCTTGTGGAACATCCAGCATCAATGCACCTGATAAGGAGATTAGAGGTTTTGAGGAATGTAGAACCTTCTCTTAATTTCCTGACCAGGGGTGGTAGCACCTGTTAGGGTCGCGACTATGGGCAAACAGTGAACCCCCAAACAAAAACAAAACACTACGAAAGTATAAAAATCTGTCTATATCTCTGAAATGAGGTATTATGATTGCTTACATTATTTACATTATTCGAACTGTTATTGCTATCTTCATGGCCATATTCGAAACGTTTCGGTCGTTGTACGCTCCGGCCTTCTTCAGGAAATTGGAATATTGAACCGAACCCTTTATTTCGTTCACCGGGTAGATTGATCTAGTTCCACGTATAATGACTCTTCCGGATGTCTCAGTTATTTCCCTTTAACTCACATCTCCAATCACCTGAAAAAGGTCGGAGTGTACAACGGACGAAACGTTGTGAATATGGCAATGAAGGTGAGGATAACAACCCGAATAATATAAATAATATACGTAAAGTATAAAAATACCAGCAATATATTTTCATATAGTAAAATTACCAACAATACCTATTTATAGTAAAATAACCAGCAATCCATTTTATAGCAAAATGACTAGCAATCCATTTTATAGTAGAATTACTAACAATACATTTTACAGCAACAAGACCAGCAATAGATTGTATCTGTAATTGAAGACATGTAATTGTGTTCAATATATATTTAGTTGAAGCCATAAAATTGTGTTCAGCTAATTCTAACCAACCATCGCTTGAGAAACTCTTTTCCGGCTTCTTGCTTCCCAGCTAATTTTGATCTTTGAAAAATTAAATGCAGTGTCAATCGTTATCGCCTGTCGTCTTAATTCTCGTTCTTTTATTGTTCTCTCTCCTTAATAGTGTTTTTTTTTCTGATATTCTCTAACACTTAGTAAACCCTTGAGACTTAATGGCTTTACTGCCTTGCTTGGGGTGAAATGATTAAAATAAATAATAAATAAATAAGCAAATTAGAATATGAGATATTTTTTCGATAATTTTTTGTCGCTAAAACGTCTCCTCATTCCATTCTTGAATAAAACAAGATGGTTTCTCTTCTGAAACGACTGAATATTTGATAAATGTGATCGAGAAGATTTATTCCAGACATTCGTTCATCTGTACTGGTATCAATGGATATATATAGAAATCAATAATTAGGCAATTTCATGCGATGAACATAAATGAATTGGCTAGCAGACTATATACGAAGATTTAAGAAACAGAAATACCAGACAGACGATAGTTTCCTTCTGCTAATCACCCATCAAGTCTAACCTGGTTGGCAGAGGGTAAATGATTTTTTTCGAAAAGAAATGGACTGATATTTTATCAAATTCTTTTTCCATTCAATCTTTATGAGTTTCCCAGTACCAATTGCTCTAAATAGGCCTAACGCCAAGGCACACTGTAGGGAACATATTTCTTTCTCACATCGAATGTGGTGTCCTTTCTTTTTAACTCCGAAATCGACGTTGCAGGTTATATCCTTAAAGATCAATTTTTATTTCGTCTAATACAAAACCTTTTTTTAGTAAGAAGACCGTGTGAAGTGAGATGCTTAACCAAGTTAATTAGAGCCTTTAGAATTTTGCCAAAAAGAGGTAAAAGACTAATAGAATGATAATTTGAGGGAACAGAAGGTTCAGTAGAGTTCTTAAAAGCAGGATCTACAGAGATTGATTTCCAAGTTGGAAAGTTATGAGAGGACAAGAGCCAGTTCACGAAGAGATTTCCTTAGAACATCCCTTGTTATCCTGATAACATTTTTATTATATTGTCGGGTATTTGTATGCAAATTCCGATATAAAATTTTCATTCATTAATAAATCCAAAAGATATCGGCTAATTATCAGCTACAGATCATGAGAAACGAAAGCCCTACTATTTGTTCGAAATGAGGCCGTATGAAGTGAGATGCTTAACCAATTCTGATTAGAGCCTCTTGTACTTTACCAAAAAGAGGGGAAAATATTAGGACGATAATTCGCGTGATCAGCGTTCTTATAGATAGGAACTACAGAAGATGATTTCCAACAAGGTGGAAAGCAAGAAGCAGCAAGAACAGGAGCCAATTCAGAAGCGCATTTCTTAAGGACATTTAGAGGGATACAGCAAGTCTTGTGGGGCTCTACTTTAGAAATGATAGCAGAAAACATGGACGGAGTTATGCGTATATCACTCAGTAGAGACTCTGCACTAGGGTGGGGAGTCAGGCAAAGATACACCTGATGATTTCACTGTAGCAATAGTATTTTTTTTACATCGAACTATGTCCTCCTTTTGTTTTAAATCTCCAATAGTAACGTTACTGTTTCTGCACTCAAAGTTTAAATGTTGTTTCTTCTGAGAAAATAACTGTATTCGATTGATATAAAATCATTTTAGTGAACGCTAAATGAGACTTGAAATATTTCTTTCAACATCTGTCTAGATTTCTAAGATGACTATTTACATTGTTCAGATTGTCCTCAACATATTCACCTTCAACATCTGTCTCTTTTCACGTATTGTAACTATTTATTTACATTGTTCAGACAGTTGTCCTCATCTTTATTCCCATATTCACCTTCAACATCATTATTATAAACTTTCGTGGGCTAAAAAGCGTCATTTTCTGTTCTAGCTTATCGTAGTAGTTTTGTTTCCCGCCATTATATCAAAATTGAATGAATGAATTAATGACTAATTTTTCAAATAAATGCATAACGACCTTCCAAAAGGATGGTGATCATTGTAATATGCAGTGGGTAAAAGAATGGCCCAGTTTTAACTGAGATTTGGATCTGATTTACTGTAAAGATTTTTTTTCACTGGGCTTCGAATATTTATTCAGAACGTATTATTGCTAATTGTGAAAATACAGTAATTAATAATGTCAATTCTGTCTTATTTATTACCAATTTACATATTAACCTGTTTTCTCCGCGCTAATTGAGATGATAAATATCGTCAAATCAAATTTGGGATGATTAATAGGAAAAAATACATGGAAAATAATCTACGGGTGGAATATATCTATCTATCTATCTATCTCTCCCTCTCTCTCTCTCTCTCTCTCTCTATATATATATATATATATATATATATATATATACAACGAAATGTATTATGATACAATTAATTATTTAATATATTTTCTGTTTATATACATATATAGATAGATAGATAACATAGATATATATGTGTGTGTATGTAGAGAGGCAAACACACAGAGATAGATAGATAAACAGATATATATGAAGAGACTAAGATAGATAGATAGATAGATAGATAGAGAGGGAGAAAGAGAGAGGTAGGTAGATATGAACAGACTGAAATAGAGTGAGTGAGATATGGACAGAGTGAATTAGACAGAGTGAGATAGATATGAGCAGACTAAGATAGATAGATAGATAGATAGATAGATAGATAGATAGATAGATAGATAGATAGATATGAAAACATTGAAATAGGTATGAACAGACCAAGATAGATAGATAGATAGATAGATAGATAGATAGATAGATAGATAGATAGATAGATATGAAAAGACGGAAATGCATAGATAGATAAATAGAGAGACAAATATACAGATGAGATTAGATTGAAATAAATCCATGGATATTAACAAAGAGAAACATATGTGTGTGTTTGTGTGTGTATGTGTCTATGTGCAAACAGACCGAGATAGATAGATAGATAGATAGATAGATAGATAGATAGATAGATAGATAGATAGATAGAAAAAGTGTGAACATTAAAAACAATGAAACAATTTGTTATTAGTCCGACAGATTTTGTCACTTTAAATCCACTGCAAGAACGTTCATTTCTCTCCCAACTATACAACAACTATTACCACGCTGACTCTTGCTTTCCAATCTGTTGGAAGTCCTCCTCTGTTGTCCCTGTTTTTAGGAACTCTGGAGACCCTTTTGACCCCACCCTACTATAGTCCTATCAGTCTCCTATTACTCTTCAGCAAATGATCTACTCTTTGACAAACAATATGGTTTCCGCTTTGCCCGGTCTACCGTTGACGTTTGTACGGCCATAACTGAATTTGTATGTCAAGCTCTTGGTAATGATGGCGAAGCTGAAGCTGTAGTTCTAGACATCTCTATAGCGTTTGATGGGTGTTTGAAATGCCGGCCTTCTTCGTAAGCTTCAGGGATACAGCATTACAGGACGATTATTTGATTTAACACTTTGAGCTCTGACTTTATGCCCAGCCTCCGGTTGAACGGTGGGTAAAAACTTGGAACAATGTTTATATCTACGGTGAAAACATTACATACTAATTATTTGCAAATTTTAACTCAGTAGCTGTTGTAGAGTAGTTTTCACAGTGGAGGCTTGTATTTCACTAAGTCGGTCCTAAATTAGGTTCGACGTACAAAACGTTAGGAACTTGAAAATAATAGTTAATGACGCAGCAATCTAGTTGTGGTGGTTGATACTTCAATGTCCGACATCGACTGACTCACTCCACTCCACTGATCCCCCTGGCGACTGCCACTACTACTACTTATTATCTGTGGGAGAGTCTATTAACAATATAATAGGTATGTTCCGGTATAAGAGGAGCGCAAGCAGAAGGGTTAGAATTGTTCAGGAACGCAGGGCTCAAAGGGTTAATGCGATCATTGCTATCAAAACGTGAAATGAAGATCGTCCTAAACGGGTTCTCATTCAGTTCCTTTTATACGAATACTGATGTTCGCCAAGGTTCTATTATGAGTTCCCAATTAAGCATCTACGCAGACGACACTACTATTTACTCCTGTCTCAATAGTAAATCCAGCATCTCTGTCAAAGCTAACCCGGCCGCTGGTCTCGAAAAGGACCTCCAATCTGTGGTTGACTGGGGCAGGAAATGGCTTGTAAACTTTAATTCCTTCAAAACGAAACTGCCACCATAGAGAAACTTTCCTGCCTCCAAGCAGCATGGTTGATGCTCAACTCCATGAGAGCGTCTCTCTGCGCCTTCTTGGTCTCAAGTTTTCCACTAATCTGAAGTGGAACAATTACAGTGAATCAATAGCTTTATCTACCGCAAGAAAAGTTGGTTCTCTGTGTCCCGCCAGAAGGTTTTTCTCGCTTGAGTACATCCTTTAAATCTACAAATCGTCCTTACATTGAATACTGTTGCCCTGTATAGTCTGGTGTGCCTGCTATTCATCTCGAGGTTTTCGACAAAATCCAGAGACGGATATGCAATGTTAAAGGTGCTGACCATCTCGGTAGCATCTCATCTACAGTCACTTTCTCATAGACGTAATATGGCTTCCCTCTGTCCTTTCTACAAATATTTTCATGGTAACTGCTCTGACGAGCTACTTTCACGGGTACCCCCAACTGCATGAATTTAAGCGTGCTACTAGGTCGGCATCTCGGCCTCACCCTTTCACTGTCGAAACGTTTAAATATAACCGTCTCTTCAATTCCAACAGCTTCTTATCTCGCACTTCCCGCGAGTGGAACTCCCTTACTCTTACTTGCTTCCCTGATTAGGACATTATCATTTTTTAAAACAGAATGTGTGGGGTTCTTTGCGTGTGTGTCTGAAGTTAAACAAATGTTTTATTTACCAAACCCAGTCAGCACATTCTGTCCGCGTTCGTAGTTAATCTTTTTTTTTTTTTTTATCATTATTAGAGTTAAATCTAGACCATACTACTACATGGATATCTAGATGCCTCACCTTACACTTAATCGTCCAAACCTCAATTAGGGATCATTTAAACACCCACGAAAACCTACCAAACTCCATTCTAAATATACTAGTAGAAAATTAAAGTATAATAGCCTCATCCACAAGTAAAAAAGATAAAAAATAATGGAAAATCTAATAATAAAAATGGAAAACCTATATTGATGGGTTAAAGTGCTCAATATCAGGCATAGAGCGTATGTAAATATAAAAGTGAACATTGAATTTAAAAACCAGAAAACGACAGTCTGTAAGACGCAATGGTCAAGCCATGAGCATCTGGATGTTGAATTCAATGTCCACTTTTATATTTACATTTTATATATATATATATATATATATATATATATATATATATATATATATATATATATATATATATAATACCAATTTGCAATTGGTAGGGATAATTCAAGGGGACATTAATCCAAAGAGAGCACAATGTAAGTAACAGAGCAATATAATAATAATAAGTAAAGATAATCCTTAAAAAAAAACATTTGGGTTATAATTTATTTCATGAATATATCCATGAGATGCATTATAACCGAAATGGATTTTAAGGGATTGTCATTACTATCTATCTATCTATCTATCTATCTATCTATCTATCTATCTATATATATATATATATATATATATATATATATATATATATATAAATCTGTTTTTTTTTAAATTTCACGGTTTGAACGACCGAGACAGAATTTTTAATAAATCACTCAAAATTCCTAAATAATTATATTGGATATACTACAACATGTTTGACAAGAAGACTCACGCTACATCTCTTTGATCATAGCTCAATTAGGTCTACTTTAAATACACATGGAGGCCTACTAAACTCTATCCGTAAGATACTCGTTGATAATGCAAATATAATAGCATCATCGACATGTAGAAAAAGGATAAAAATAATGGAAACATTATTAATAAAAATAGATAAAGCAACACACAATATTATCAACTATGAACACTGCTACAATGTGCTGACCGTGTTTGGAAAATAAAACATTGCTATAACTCTAGATACATACATAAAAATCTACACATCCAGTTAAAAGTAAAAATAAAATCATCCCTGAAAACGGTTAAACGTAGAGCCGAAATCACTCAGACATAAAAAATATTCAGACAATTTCTCCATAAAATGTTCAGAAAGTAAGAAAAATATGAAACCACAAAAAAATAAATAAATAAAAAACTTAACCGCAGTACCATGTCTGTTGTTTTTAAAAACTTGTATAAAAATGTCCAAATACACAATTATATATATATATATATATATATATATATATATATATATATATATATATATATATATATATACAGAGAGAGACAACGACAGACAGACAAACAGTGTGTGTGTGTGTATGTGTGTCTTTGTGTGCATGTGTGTGTGTGTGTGCGTGTGGACAAAGAAATTATCATTCACTATTCATTCCTGAACTGATCATCAGACCATGTTTATATTTACAATTTCTTCATATCCGATATTCAGTTCTCTTCCCAATAAATAAAAATCTTGAACCATATGATTATATTATATATATATATATATATATATATATATATATATATATAATAAATATATATAATATGGATTTAAAGCATGATTTATTCATGAGTAAAAGTGTTCAATATCAGGGATAGAGCGTATGTAAATATAAAAGAGAGCATTGAATGCCAACACCCATCGGCTACAGTCTGTTTAATGATTGAATGCAATCTTTATGGCCTGAAGAGATCGAGATTTTATTAACTTTAGTGTAAATCCGTAATATATATATATATATATATATATATATATATATATATATATATATATATATATATATATATATATATATAGGATATATATTACATATATATATATTACGGATTTATATATATATATATATATATATATATATATATATATATATATATAGGTATTGCAAAAAAAAGAGTTTCTTGATAAAATGAAAAACATTTAAAAAGTCTAACTCTCTGTAGGAACCAATTAAAATGAATCAATTAATTAATCACCTTCTTATCTGGGGAAGCCTTTGCCAACCACTTTGATGGTTTTATTATCTGAACGCTGATTGATAAATGGAACTGGTGAAATGTTTCAATACATCGTTCAAGTAAAAACACGATTGGTTTTAAAATAGATATGAAAAAAAAGTTTCAAAATAAACGATTAATAGGTTTTATATTGAAAAGAGAACAGTAAAAAGTGCACATTCGTATTGAAGCTAGATTTTTCAGTCCAATATGTGTGCGCATGCGTATGTCTGCATAGATTTTATTTTTTGAATGAAAATAATGTGTGGCGGAAAAGTACGGCGTAGTGCTGAGGAATGAAAACTTTTGCAATCATTTAGGATGAAATCTATTTCTCACGCGTTTTGGCACGTTCTATTCAAAAGAAAACAGAAGCGGGGAGGGTGAGGAAATAAGAAAAAAGATTGAAAACAGAAGGAAATAATTTAGAGTGGTAAGGAAAAAAGGAAGAAGATATCTGTTGGCAAGAAGAAAGAATGATAAGAATGGTAAGAGGAATAAGATTACAGTAAAATGGGAGAAAGTTATATCGAAGAAGAATGATAAAGCAGCATCGAGAAAAATGGAGAAACTAGGGCGGGAAAATTAGAAGCATTAAGCCAAAGAGAGAGAGAGAGAGAATTTTAAAATGGAAGTAAAAAAAATGGGGGAATGACAGGAAGACAAATGAGAGAGAGAGAGAAAGAGAGAGAGAAAGAAAGAGAGAGTGAGAATGAGAAAGAGAATTTTGAACTGGAAGTTAAAAATGGAGAAATGACAGGAAGACAAATGTTTTACATAAGGTTGGAGGGAAAAGATATTAATTTCTGTCCACTCTTATCTGTCTATACATATCTCCTCGGGTGGCTTGGCAGTCTCTGTTATAGATGCCTGTTCAAGCACTTTTGTGTTTATTCAACACCCACAGAGCCCACCTGCGGTTTATACAGCAACTAGGCTGAGCGGACATTAGTTACGGCTACTGGCAGAGAGCGCGTTATCTGTCATGATCAACAGTCTAACAAGTATGCTCAAACCCTCGATTACAATGAAATTGTGACTTTGTGCTAGCAAACCTATCGACGACCCACCCCCATCCCTACAAATAGTTTCATCTACCCAAGACTTGAGTCTTCCGTGTTCCGTCCTCGGTATGGCTATAAACTACATCTGGTAGCAAAGCCTCTGATTAGGAGTTTTTGAAGAGCGTGGAACTATCTCTTACTTGCTGGTGTTCCCAGGTCCACCATCAAGGTGGTAGCGCCTGTTGGGATCCCAGCTATGGGAAAATAGTTAACCCCTAAACTGGAGTCAAAACACTATAAAAGTGCAAAAGTAGGTTTTAGTACAAGAAATTCATTTTTGAAAAAAATGATTACCAGCAATATATTTTTGAAAAATAAAAAACTATTACCAGCTATACATTTAAAAAAAATATTACCAGCTAAAAAAATATTATCAGCAATACATTTTTAAGAAAAATATTACCAGAATTACATTTAAAAAAAATATTACCAGCAATATATTTTTTAAAAATAAATATTACCAGCAATACATTTTTAAAACAATTGTTACCAGGAATAACAATCTTGTCGGCATTAAATAACCCATTCAGGTGTTGATATGCCGTAAAACAAATCAAATCAAACAACCCGTGGTATGGTTTTCAGGCAGTTTCCAAATTTTTCTCACGCTGGAATCGCCTCCACAGTCTGATAACATCAAAAAGTCACCTTCCTGACAAATCGACTTTGGTGAGATTCGATCCATGGTCAGAAAGCGAATGTTCTAACCCCTGGGCTACGCTCCCATTGAAAAATGGCGTCGTCAGTGATTAAATAAAACGATTGAAATGGAGAAAGCTTAAGAGTGATCCCAGAGAAAACAAAATGGAAATACGTGGAAGAAAGAGAGGTACTACTTATACTACAACTACTACTACAACAACAATAATAATGAATGACATTTCTGAACGAAATGAAAGAAGAAAGTGTAAACGCAAATAGGGAGTAGAGAGCTGGGAATGAATCATATTAGAGAAAAAAGAGAGAGAAAATAGAGAGATGTAAGATGGCGAAATCAGGCCACAACACACACATACGCAAACACACATAGGCATTCTGTGAGATCTTAAGATGCATGTTAGTGTTTTCAAAATAAAATTGCTAATAACGAATCGGTTACATTATGAGTATAGAAGAAAGCACGAAATTCCGCCATATTGTAATAGTTTCAGTCGTAGTTCATACCAGCCGGGTTAACTGGATAAAGGGATATGACCATGAGAAACCCCAAAACGCTAATGATAACAGGATTATTTGACTGATGATATAGTCAGGCTCATCATCCTGATGTATATCCAGATATGGGAATTTCAGATAATATATATTGGTATATGAATCGGATTTATTCAACCTATACAGAGAGACAATGATAAGACAAATGGAAGACCTAAGCAGTTTTACTATTAGCAGAAGCATTATTAACAACATAAAATATGTAGAAGATAGAGTATTGATGGCAGAGGCAGAAATTGAACTGCGAGTACTCCTTGACAATGTATTAAAGAAAAGCTAGAAGAAGGGACTAACTATAAAATTTAAAAATATATAATGTACAGCTGTCAACAAGAAGGACAGCCCAAGGTGTGTGCTACGAACTGCAGACATGAAAATCAAGTGGAAACAGACGTTTACATGTCTGGTTAATATAACAGACGAACGAAAATATTGCGAAGAAATCCGAAAGTGCAATGGAAAATGCAGGATATCTTCCAGCAGCTAAATTACAACATACGAAAATATCGTCAGAAACAAATATTAAAAAAAAATGCTGTTTAATATTCATTCTCCTATATCGCAATGAATGCTTGTTTCCCCATACATGAGGACGACATTTGAAGCAACAGAGATGTGGTTCGACGGATGGATGCTAAAAAATACCATTGAATGGACATGTGAGGAAAGAGAAAATCTTTTGGAAAATAAGGACTAACACTTATAGTTACAATAAAAAAGAGACTTTAAATTTGAGTCGCATAATGATAAAAGAAAGTTCGGAGAATGTAATACCCTCAGGACCTATTGAAGACAAGCAGGGCAGAAAGAATAAGCTACCTAACGAGGTTATGTAAACAGACAGCAGAGCGAGGAATGAGAGGAATTGCAAGTTTAGAGTTAAAAAAAACGGGAAGTTGTGGAGAGCTATGATGAAACATATGGGATAACATGGAATAGTATGAAATATTTACAATAATTTCTGATAGTGTGAAGTCTTATGATGCATCTTGTGGAATGCTTATCCTATTGTAAATGAGTATATATTATAATACAGTTATTGGTATATTTTTAAATTTCAGATATACAAAGATTGCCAATTGTTGTTAGAAAGATTGCCAAGGATTCTTAGAAAGATTGCCACACATTGTTAGAAAGATATAATTTCAAAAGAGAAACGGGATGCTTTAAAGTTATTTAGAAATTAGAAAACGACGTTAGAAGTTGTAAAACTTTTGAATAGAGATGAGATAAAAATATAAAACATGTGAAAACATTGTCAAAAAGAAGAAAAATTGCTTTAAAAATGTCACAAAAGAGTTCCGATGGGCAAAATTGAATGATAATAAGAAAACTAAATTGAGCTATGAGAAAACATTTGAAGAATCTAGTGCTTCGAATTCAATGAAAAAATATAAATAAATACAAGAATATTAAAAATATGGGCTAAGAACGTGCATGCATTTAAACGACCAGCTTTTAAAAAGCATCAAAAAAAAAAGAAAAAAACTGGGAGAAGTAGTACATGAAAACGGCTTTCGTAACAGTCATTTTTCGTGATGTAGAGCTGTTGTTTGTGCTAGGGATCGCATCCTTTATGTTAATGAAAAAAAAAAACAGGGAATGGAGCAAGACTTTGAGCTATTAATGTAAACATGAAAATTATTTATCACTTAAATGATATCTCTTGTCTTTAGATAAATCAAAGAATTGTAAGTTCTTGGACAATACGGTTTTTTCAGAAATATAGTTCACCACAAAAAATCTTTAAGCTAAATAACATATTCATCCCAGCTATGGGTAAAATAGCAGGGCAGACTGGTTCCTATAGCCTTGGGTGCCAACCAATCTAAGAGAAGGAAACTCTAAATTCGAACCAGTCTGCTGCCTTGTAGGTTCTGTCTCTTTAGGCAAAGGCTTCAAAAACAAATCCACCTCGCAAATCGTCGTCTCGAAGAAAGCAACTCCCCCCCCTCTACTTCAAGCCCCGACAGAAAATAATGGACCCCTCGGTCTTAGTAAAATGATTCGAACAAACACAGGACTGGGACACAGATCGGCGATGTTGTTTACATTGATTTATAAAATATCAACACGATTGAGTTACATGTATGTTTCTATGGCTTATATATTTCGAACCGATTTATAGATATTTATATCGTACTGGTATCCACAAAATAATTTAATATCAATATTTTAAATAAAGTGGACATTTGAAACTGAAAAGCTCAAAGAAGGTAACTTCAAAAACAAATCCACCTCGCGGCAGAAAATAATGGACCCCTTGGTCTTAGTAAAATGGTTCGAACAACACAAGACTGGGAAATAGATCGGCACCGTGGACGTCTCTGATTTCAGACTACTCGTCCATGGGTGTATCATCCACGGCACTTTACACGACAAGTATATTAAGGGAAGACAATGCTCTTTTAATTTACTACAAAGCTATCGTCCACAGTGCAAATAAAAAAGGTTGCAGACACCAAATTAATGGAGTCCTTCCCAATCTCTTCAAATATTAATCCAATATCCGTCGTTAATAGAGTATATAAGAATGAAAAGAAAAAACTACTATTAGAAAAATTAGTCGAAATCCTAGCATAGTTAATAAAATTAATGTGCAAAATGTCGGATGTATCAGGTCATCCCATAAGTTCTGTCCGAATTTTGAATAAAGAAAACAAGTGATGAAATGTTACATTTAATTACAAATTCAATCAACAATGTATTTTCCCTGATTATCTATGACTTCCTTCCATCTATTAACAAGATTACTAATTCCATTACTTTAAAATTATTTTGGCTTTGATTCGAAGAACTCACAAATGTCAGTTTTAACCTCTTCCTGTGTTACAAAAGCTGTTTGTTCCAAATGATTCTGTAAGCTACGAAACAAATGGTAGTCTGAAGGAGCAAGATCGGGAGAATAAGGTGGATGAAGAATTTTCTCCCAACCAAGTTCTTCGATCTTTTGTGACGTGATTCTTGCTGTGTGGGGTCGCGCATTTTCCTGATGAAACATCACCTCTTTTCGATTCACTAGAGCAGGTCTTTTTTTCCTCAAAGCTTGGTTCAAACGCTCTAATTACTGACAGTATATTTGAGCATTAATTGTTGCATTAGGTGGTAAGAATTCAAAGTGGATTATTCCTTGGCGATCCCACCAGATTGAAAGAAGAACCTTTCGCCCATGAAGTTCTACGACGCTTAACATTTCGATAAAAGAACCATTTTTCGTCGCCAGTCACAAGAAAGGTGAAACAAGTTGGCGAGAATGGAGAGAAGATCAGATGTCAACACGGGATTTGAGGTTGTTTTCAGACAATTCATGAGGCACCCATTTTCCAAGTTTAGGAACTTTTCCAAATTGTTGAAGATGACGATGAACAGTTGTATGGTTTCAACTGAGAACCACTGTCAATTCCTCAACTGATAAAGCAGGATTTTCTTCAAGGGCTACTTCAAGAAGCTTTTCATCAAACTCAACTGGACGTCCCGTTCGATCTTCATCTTCAAGGGTGAAATCTCCATCTCCGAATTTTGCAAACCATCTTCAAGTTCTTTCATTTACACATTCCTCTCCATAAACTGTGTGAATGTTTCTAGCCGCTTCGGCTGCTGAGTTTCCTTTCTTGAACTCATAAAGCATTATGTGCCTCAAATGATTCTTGGGTACTTCCATGTTAGCAGGGTTCTAATCAAACAAAATTTAATTTTATTGTTCTCTGAAATAAAATATGACCAGTTTAAATGCATCTAAACATAAAAATAATATTCAGCTCCATTAGGCATTATAAAATACTCTTTAAATTTCGTTCATTTTAACAAAAAGTTAAAATTCGGACAGAACTTATCGGATGACCTGATAGTTTACATGGAGTCGTAAAATATCAATAGTATTGAGTTACATGTATGTTTCTATGGTTTATATTTTTTGGAGCGATTTATAAATATTTATATTTCACTGGTAACCACAAAGCAATTTAATATCAATATTTTAAATAAAGTGGACATTATAAACTGAAATAATACATATTGTTCATATGAATATATCGTGAACATTGTATCATGATCTATAGATCGAGAGTTAGGTAAATATCGATTTTTCTTGGGAAAACATTGAGTTACATAATAAAACCACACATAGAACACAAGGAAAAGTTATATATTATTAAGTTCCTGAAAAATAAAAAGTTATTAAATCAAAGAAATGAAATAGCAGTTCTCTGTAACATTGTTTCATATTTTCCTTAAAAAATGATTGATTATAAAAATAATTTACATTATATACATATTATTTGATCATAAATAAAATAATTTATAATTGCGTAATTAATTTATAATGTATTCATTTTACATTACCATACAAAGTCTAAATAAAGTTAATAAAATAAATATAGTATTTTAGATCTCTATTAATAAAAATACAAAACTAAATAATGTGACTTATTTATATTCGAAAACCTCTTTAAGAAAATCTCGATGTGGTTTTAGAAGAGAAGAGAATTAATAAAAAAATAGATAAAAATGCCAAACGCATTGTGATGTAATCCTAAATAAAATTTTAAAAAAGACAGACAGTGATGACAGGACAGCTTGAAAGAAAGTCAGTATAAATAGACAGAAATCTTCAAACCCCACCCAAACATAACTGACTTTAAATTTTCTACATAAAAATACACTTGCTTTCTTCATTCGGCAAAAAAGTCCAACACAGCCTTAATAAAAAAAATTGTGAATTCTCATTACCCAATCAACTTAAAATATGTAATACTGTTTGACTTATAAATAAAGTAAATCATTCTTTTCGAATGTTATTCTCAACATAATTTGAAGATGGGACCAAATTTCAAATTTTATGTTTAAAAATTTAAGTTTCGGTTTCGAAACAGTAACTTCTGTGTCGCGATGGATACATATTTAAATATATAATGAACACTCCCGTCGGTTTCGACGTATGAGAATATGACAACTTAATTGATTTAGTTATGAAATTTTATGCGATACTCTTAAGTGGCACTTAAGACCCGCTAGAGATTTACAAAGGAGACCACACATGGAGCAAGTGTGAGGGTTGTGGGATGAGATCACTGTTATATTGGCTGACCTTTTAGATCTTGCTCTCGCTTCTTGAAGACGATTCAGACAAGCAGATTGAAAACTGCTGAGTCCGTTAAAACACTAAAACTATATATATATATATATATATATATATATATATACAGAGAGAGAGATTTTGCGATAGATAAAATGAATATCAGAAATATCACTGTGATATGAATATCACTGTGATATGAATATCACTGTGATATCAACATCATAGAGATATCATAGAGGTATTAATATCATAGATATGGTAGAAATATATCGTAGAGATATCAATATAATAGAGATATCATGGCAATTTCAATATAATGGAGATATCATAGTGACATCATTATAACAGGCACACTGGTGCCATGAGATCATCGTACTTTGGATAGTTCCTTGACAAATGTGGTTTTGATGTGCAACATCTTCTTCGAAAATTGGTGAAAATGAATAAAAGATTAAATAGACAAACCGTATGGGTTGTATTTTATAAAACCTATTTGACATATACATTCAGTAATCAAATCATCTGCGTTGGAATCCCTTTTAGTTTTCGAATCGCTCCAGTTTTTGATACAGATTCGTCAATGTTTTGGAAACACTCTTTGAAAATGTGGGTCGATGCTTTTATTACTACATCTTTCAACCAGGATTCGAATTTACTTTTCCACCACATCCCAAATGCCCCTATATAAAGATAAGATTGGTAAACGGCAATTTGAGATTTTTCTCCTGTGGATATTTGCCTCATCTCAAAAAGACATTATTAAATAACCAATTTTTGTCAAATTTTAAACGATTTAAATATTATTTCATAGAAGAAGATATCAGGTCCTAAATCAATTTGGATACGATTATTCAACCCTTCTTTTCCCCGACAAATATCGTACCAGCTTCAATGAAACAAACGTTAGACGTCCTCATAGTTTGACACGTCAATAATGCACAGGTTGCGGGATATTTGGGGTGAGATTATAGGTGCGGAAGTGGTGAACGAGTTACAAATGATGAAATTAATGAATTGATTTTTGAAGGCACACGTAGAGGCATGGTTCAAGAAGATGATAAATTTTTTTCGAAATACAGCGACTTTTGTGCACAGCAACGCCCTATCATATTCAACGGTGCAAACTAATGAATATGTGAATAAAACGGCTTTGATGAAATGAACGTCTGGTTTACTTTAACTCGATTGGAAAATTATGGAGTATTCTGATGTGGTACGTTTACATTGATAACAATTGTCAGGAAAATAATTTGAGAATCTTACTCTGGATACTTTGATTTCTGATTTATAAGGAGGAATACAACAATTCTCAAAGTGAATGGACGAACGACTTCATTCCGTTCTGGACCAACAATGATCTGGTATTTAGTTATAACTGGTCTGTCAGACTAGTATATGAATCACTGTAGATACCCAGTCATAAATACAAGGGAAACGGATAACGGATTTCAAATTCTGGCTGAGGTTATTTGTAATCACGTAGCTTTGATGTTTACAGGAGAGCTCAGCAGCAACGCCAGATATCTTGAAAAAGGTCTCGTCACTTATATGTCATGACAGTTAACAGAGACAAAAATGAGAAAGTGAGTATTTGGGCAAAAAATTACCATAAGCAGTAGTGGCAAACCTTATACTCAACCTTGGCAGGACTTCGGTCACAAGTGTTTATATGTGTGTGAATAGAATGACAGAGAGAGAGAGAGAGAGAAAGGAACATAATTAGAAAAACAGGAGCAGGAAGGAAATTAATCAACGTCAGATAACAGCGAGAGAGAAAGAGAGAAAGAGAGCGAGAGAGAGAGCGGAATTCAAAGAGGTTGGAATAGGCAAAATAAACAAAGGTTTGCACAAAGAAAAGCAAAGAGCATAGAAATATATTGTTTAAGAATTAATATAAGAAAAGTGGAAATATGTGAAATAAGAGAGAAACATGGGCGAAAGGAAGAAAAAATCGAAGAGTTTATTTCAAAAGGTGAGGGGATTCTCTCCAGAAAGACGAAACGAAAAAGGAAGTCTTCAACAATAGCGGACGAAAGAGAAATGAAGAAAGATATATAAAGAGTAGAAGCGACGGATGAAAGATAAACGTGACGAAAAAGATAAGCAAAAGAAAAGAATACGTATATATATTTATATATGTAAGCTGATAGAAGTGTGTGTGGTGTGTGTATATGTGTGTGTGTGTGTGTGTGTCTGTGTGTGTGCGCGTGAAAGAAGCGTGCGGAAGTGTGTGTGTTGTGGATTCGAATCTATTTTAAACAACGACTGCAGCATCATTATCAATCATGGCTGAATAAGTTCCTATCCGTGTTAGGAGAGATATGGCCGCAGCCCAGAAAGCCTGTTCTTACAAGTCGACAGTGTACAGTCGTCAATTAAATACAAATTACTGACTTTGAGATTTGAAATTCAGCTATCTTGGACAATTATTTGCAATCATGCCTTATATTTTTCCCAACTCAAAGTGTTTTCCTCATGTTTTTTTTTTCTTCAACTCTATTTTTTTTGTCATTTCCTTTGAAGTGACTTTTATGGTATATTGAATGTTGTCAAATCTTTTTTTTTTTTTAATATAAACGGATGAATCGGGTGATTGGATTTTTCTCTGGTTTAAACTCCAACTTCTAGACACGGGTTTGTCCCACGGGACAATATAAACTTGTGAATTAAAGCGTTATTTTGTGAATTTGTTCACAAAGTAATCGTGAGGTTCATATATATGTATGATGGGTTGGGATCAAATACAAAATAAAAATGGATTGGAATCTGACAGGATGCTAGGATATAGAACAAATAGGAAACGTTTATCAGTCTAACATATTTCACTTTTATTAAAAGGTTTATCAGAGATAGATAGATAGATAGATAGATAGATAGATAGATAGATGTAGGGGGATCAAATATAGACCACAAGTGACAGATAGATAGATAGATAGATAGATAGATAGATAGATAGATAGATAGATATGTGGGTATCAAATATAGACCACATGTGACTGAGATAGATAGATAGATAGATAGATAGATAGATAGATAGATATGTGGGGATCAAATATAGACCACATGTGACTGAGATAGATAGATAGATAGATAGATAGATAGATAGATAGATAGATAGATAGAGATAGATATACGGGGATCAAATATAGACTACATGTGACTGAGATAGATAGACAGATATGTGGGAATCAAATATAGACCACATGTGACTGAGATAGATAGATAGATAGATAGATAGATAGATAGATAGATAGAAAGGGGATCAAATATAGACCACATGTGACTGAGATAGATAGATAGATAGATAGATAGATAGATAGATAGATAGATAGATATGATGTAGATTGATAGATATACATGGATATGGGATCAAATATAGACCACTGAGATGATGACTGAGATAGATAGATAGATAGATAGATATGTGGGAATCAAATATAGACCACATGTGACTGAGATAGATAGATAGATAGATAGATAGATAGATAGATAGATAGATAGATAGAAGGGTGGGGATCAAATATAGACCAAATATGCATTAGAATCCGACACATTGATAAAATAAAGAAAAAAATAGGAAACGTTTATCAATCTAACATGTTTCACTTTTATTAAAGCTCCATCAAAGAATGAGATATGAAGAAAAATAAGAAAAATCCTGGTATATTTATTTCTGTATTGTTTGATTTTTATTGGCTAATCATGTTTCACGTGCATTCAACTTGTTAAACAAACGTTAGTATAATCAATGAACTATAAAAACCAATTTAAAACTAACCCGGCGAATCTTCCGTTTTTACTTTGTCTGCTAGCAGGTTTTTATTTCTTTCATAATACAGCTTCGGTGTGGCTCGAACAATCGCTCTGACTTACCGACAACATTCGACTCTCAAATACCCTGAATTATGTTATAATTGCTTGCCGGTGACCAGGTTCGATACGTGGACTCATAGCCTTATACTTGAGTCGGGTCGATAGTTCACAAATTTGATGATTTGGTGGAAGTGAAATGAATTAAAGAATGGCGATTCAAGAAATTGATCACATTTTTGAAAAATTATTTTCCCAAAAGACAATAAAATATATTTTTGTCTAAATCAATGACAGAAATAAAGAACATGACAGAATTTTTTTTTTTCTATGAGTCGATCCTTTGGTCAAAGCAGCCAGTTATAAAACCACATGTCGACCCTGGTCACCGGCAACCTATTATTATAACACGTACGCCCCAGTCGATCCTGGGCAACCTGGGTTAATCTCAGGTTGACCCAGGTCAGTACCATCGTCGGTCAACTGGTTTTTAGTCGCTGGCCGCTTCGATCCACACCGTCGCCGCCCACGTTGTGTTCTTTGAACTCAGGGTATTGAAAATCGAATGTCGTCGATAATTCGAAGCGCTTGTTCGAGCCACAGCGAAGCTGTATTATGTAAGAAATAAAAATCTACTTGCAGACAAAATAAAAACGGAAGATTCACCGGGTTAGGTTTTGTGTGTGTGTGTGTGTGTGTGTGTGTGTTGCCATGTTCAGAATCAATACCTTCGACTTCTTTTGATTCTGTATCTACATGCTCAGGTTCAATAGCTTTGACGTTTTTTCTTGTGTCAACAATTTCAGAAGTGATATCTTCGTCTTTTTGTGCTTGTCTGTCTGAGGATCAACGTATTTTGCTTGTGTGCACAGATGTTTAGGATTGATATCTTCATCTCATTTTACTTGCGTGTCCACAATTCCAGAAGCAATATTTTCATCTTTTAGTTTTTGTCCCACAATTTTCAGGAGCAATATTTTCATGTTTTTAGTTTGTGTCCACAATTTCAGAGCAATATTTTCATGTTTTTAGTTTGTGTATCAATTTCAGGAGCAATATTTTCATGTTTTTTAGTTTGTGTGTCCACAATTTCAGGAGCAATATTTTCATGTTTTTTTAGTTTTGTGTATCCACAATTCAATATTTTCATGTTTTTTAGTTTGTGTGTCCACAATTTCAGGAACAATATTTTCAACAATTTCAGAAGCAATATTTTCATGTTTTTAGTTTGTGTGTCCACAATTTCAGAAGCAATATTTTCATCTTTTTAGTTTGTGTGTCCACAATTTCAGGAGCAATATTTTCATCTTTTTAGTTTGTGTGTCCACAATTTCAGAAGCAATATTTTCATCTTTTTAGTTTGTGTGTCCACAATTTCAGAAGCAATATTTTCATCTTTTTAGTTTATGTGTCCACAATTTCAGGAGCAATATTCTTCGTCTTTTTCTGCTTGTTTGTTCACAATTGCTGTATCAATATCTTCGCCATTTTTTTTTTGTTTTGCCCGTGTATCCACACGTTCAGAAATAAATCTCCGACTTTTTACTTGAGTGTCCATAAATTCAGAACCAATGCATTTGTGCATTGTTGTTTTTTGTAGTATTTTTTTAGATATTTGCAAACGTTAAATTCACAATAACTAGGCACCAAGTAGCACACGAGATTAGACAATGTCGCTGTACAGCCGATGTTCATTTAAATATTTATAAAACTAAGTTTAGCCTGACCACAATAATTCAGCACATAGTGAGGAACTAATTAACGACAAATCAGTATCAGATGTAAATATTTATTAAGCATTGGTGAAATTATAACTGAATAGCTTGAAATATATGTTTTCTTTTATTAGAATGTAGCGTGTAGGTTTCTGTCAGCGGAAGGGCCCATTGTTCCATTGATTATTTGTTGAGTCACAAAGATACCATCAGTGAAGATCATTACAAAGTTTTATAGTAACGTCAGTACATTAGAGATTAGACTTCTAGAAGTAGTAATAATAGTGTCAGTGGTATTATTTGTCTCAATCCTCTTCGAACTAGATTTTTAAATATACACCCCCAGTGCCCCCTCCCCAGCCTGTCACTGACTTGCCAATCACCGACTAGACACACTGTGTTTTGATTTTCGCTTGCGTTGGTATGCACAAAACTAGTAAAAGCTCAGTGTATACTGGTAAGGTAACGGAAGATGCAATGACACCACGACGAGAAATGAAACACGACCCCTGATTTTAATATATTTGATTGTTTTATTCACTAGCTGAGATTCAGATCTTGCTTAGTATTCTCTTTAGGGGAATATAGGTGACACAGGACTCTTCGCCTCTTTGTTTCATGTCTATCGAGGGCGATTGCTATAGGTCTGAAGATGGCTACTTTCTTAGCTCGCTCTAACCGGCACTACTTTATATAAGCCCTTGACTGGAAATCCCACCTTCCACCCAAGTGTTACTGGATCCCGAAAGTTTTTATTTAGCTAGATATTTATTTTGCTTTGTAGACGGTGGGTACCTACTTTTAAGATTCCACTCGTAGATTTACTGTCGACGCATTCATAAAAACTGCCGCACTTTTGGTTCAAGATAAAATAATTTACAGTCCACTTTACTTATTGGGTACTCTAAGCCAATCGTGCGGTGGCTCATCTATTATTATTATTAGTAGTAGTAGTAGTAGTAGAAGTAGTAGTAACGGAATAGGTTAAATAGCAGAAAATATTATTGTCGTTATGATAATCATATTAAAAGACCTACTACTTATTATTAGCAATCTCATTATTTCTTTTTCCTATCGAATGTGCGGGTGGTGTCATATATAGTGGCTCTGAATGATAAATTGGAAAGCTGAGTTCGAATTCCAATCTGGCTCGTTAAATTTTCACTTACACGCAAAGAGTCTGGAGAAAGCCATGAATCCGTCCGTTCCCTCCAGATAGTCGGACTTGTGTCTGGAAAAATCATTGGTATTCTAAAAAAATAAAATAAAATTAATGCAATATTCACTAGTAAGAACAAATAATTATACTTTCTATCCAAAAATATGTTTCGGTTATAAAAAAAGCATAAAGGGTTGATAAGCCGTAAAAATGAATCACTCTATTAACAGCCAGTTTACTAACAATAAATTATCACTAGCAGTCGTAATATTGTCATGAAAATGACAGCAGTTTATGATTTCTACACCTGTTTTATCATTACTATTTAAGTTTAAGAATGGAAAACTGGTTGTTTTCGGGGTAAATCATGTGACAACACGTCCTATCAAATCTTCATTATCTTTTTGCATTATTTGTTAAGCTATTAATAATGCTTTTGTCTTATTGGTTGAAAATTTTCCTCCAGTTTCCAAAGAAATTATTACACTAATAATAATAGTAGTAGTAATAGCAGTAGTATTTTCTGACGTCTTGTTAATATTGGTAGTAGGATTTACTGACGTCTGTTATTAGTAATAGTAGTAATATTCATTGACATTTGTTATTAGTAGTAGTAGTAGTAATATTTTCTGACATCTGTTATTATTATTATTAGTAGTAATGTTTTCTGATGTCTGTTTTTATTATTAGTAGTAGTAATGTTTTCTGACGTCTGCTATTATTATTATTAGTAGTAGTAGTAGTAATATTTTCTGACGTCTGTTATTGTTAAAAAATATATACATTTATGAAAACTAGTTTCTTTTCCTCGAATTTCATTTTGCTACAAGAAAATTAATTCCTTCCCCTACTTTTCTGTGAAGAATATGGTACCTATAGAAATGAACTGGACGGCGAAGAAGAAGAAGATCATTTTTTTATATCTTTTTTATCGTTACACTCGATTTTGGTAGCTTGTCTTTTCGTAAAGTGCATTGTCAGAATTGGATGGAATCGATTACCTACTCTTTGCATTAGAAAGTAATGTAGAGTATGGAACGAAATGTATATTAAAAAAAAAGAACCCAGAATATTTCCGCCATTTCTTTGAAAGGTTGAAGGTATAGAAAGGCTATTAATTACAGTATGTGTTGCTTCTATTTTCTCTGTAATTCATACTTTCTTTGTCTTCAATTTTCACTTAAATGACAAGAAAAATTAATGTGCAGCGGTTTAAAGTTTTTTTTGATTAGCTTTGTACTAATAAAATTTCAGTGATTTTATTTTGCTCTGCATTTTCTTTTTTATGTTTAATATTTTATATATATATATATATATATATATATATATATATATATATATATATATGATACAGCGAAACATATATATATATATATATATATATATGATACAACGAAAACAGTCTGTGGATGACGATATATATATATATATATATATATATATTAAGAGAGAGAGAGAGAGACTGTTTCGCTGTATCACAGCTCATCAGTGTGGCTAGACATCCGATTGCCTCAAGCTGATTTGGTATCAGTTGGAGATTTTATCCCTGAGCTATCAGCGCCCGGTGGAGAGGAAGGCGAATTTTGACGTACCTATTCTTCAAATAAGCACGCCAATAACCGAGAGGAAGAGCTTTTCAGTATTAGCAGTAGTAGTCATTGTTTACAAATTCGCGTTTTCTCTCCAGAATGCTCGACCGGAATTAAATTTTCCGGGGGCGTATATATCGTCATTCACAAACAGACTGTTTCACTGTATCACAACTCATCAGTGTGACTAGACGTTTTATTACCTCAAGCCAGGATCGAGACCCGACTGATTTGGCATCAGTTCGAGATTTTACTGATTTATACTG